CATCCCACAATCACACCAGATGTGGAATTTTTCATCAATGTTGTCCTTTTTTGGGAGGGTGCATCTTTTACACTGAAAAAGACAGTAATTATTTTGGTTTGTTTTGCTACTAAACACACAGTGAGGTGACTGCATGTTACTTTTCCCCCAGCCCCTTTCTGTGAGTGAATGAGTATGACATTTCTGAAAGTCGGGGGCTTACAGGGTAGGCCAGTGCAGAGAATGTTCCTTTACCCTTCCTGAGCACTGTCAGTCTGGGGGGAGCTTTGGCCATATGTTTACTAGGGTCTAGACTGGAATCTCTAAATTCATTTTCACTTGCGACCTAAATCGGATTTGATGGCAGAGTCCAGATGTGAACAGCTTGAGTTGTAACAGTTTCTGAGGAATTTATCTGTTCGCTCTGCCTTCCTTTCCCAACCTAATGCAGTTCATTTTGAACAGGATCAGGAAAGACTTTATGGCTTGATGCAAAGGGGACATGTACAGTTCTGCTGAGTATTCACTGTTTAAAAAGACACTGTCAAGGCATTTTCCACCGTCATAATGATAAGAAAGCAACTTCTTTTTACTGTTGAGAAACACAATGGAAATGTGAAACAGGGCTGTTTCCTTTGGTTTTCTTCACACATTAGTTTTCTTCTTTTGGACTAATGCACAGGCTTGTTTTCACTGGTTTGCTGCTCGGTTCTGAGCTGCTAGTACAGGTTTAGCCTTAGTGGAACCAAGCACTTAAGGATTTGTTTGTTCAGTGGGGAATTGCATGAAGAATTTCAGACAGATAAGCCTCCAAGTGGGACAGGCAAATACCAATGTGCCATGCTGGCAGGTTCCTCTGCCCCCCTTCTTGTATATACTATATTGGTTTAGGCTCCACTGAATGTGTCTTTTGGAAGAAACCCTGCCAGTTAGGAGGGAAAAAATATGGGGGGTGGGAGAGGAAGGGAAACTATTTTCAAGCTTCCCCAGGGGTGTTTCAAAGGTGCATTCAACCAAAAATATACCTGTACTGTTTCTTTCCCTGGAAACGCCTGTTTTTGCTGACTTGTCTGCATTATTTGTTCTATGCATTTTTGAAATCATGGGAAGCAAATTTGGGATAGCAGAGAAGGGGAATATCTCCATGTTTATGATTGTGGACTGGCAGAAAGAGAGTGCAGTTATGTGGGGTAGATGGGTCTGAAAGGCTGTAACGTGGCTGCGTGGAAAGCAGCAGCAGCTGCACACGCTTTTGAATAATATTAGCCTGAACCTGTGACTGTGACTTCCTGATTCCACATTTCCTGAATTCTATGTGTACAAATGAGATAACCTAGGTCAGAGTGTGCTTGACCTGCTAATTCCACATGGAAGGTAGATTCTTCTGCTTCTGCAGAAAAGGCAGTGGCAGAAGTAATATACAAGCAACGAGTCCTCTCCCCACTGCAGATTACCTTATTGTGGTGTCTGGAGCATCTGAGGTGACTTTTATACACCATTCTGACAGAGAAGCAGCAGTTCTGGACCACCTGCCAATGAGCTAAAGAATAAAGGCTAATATTTCTGCATGCATATGGCCTCCATCACTATAATGTCCAAGTCCTTCCCATTGTGTAAAAGTAGGTGCTGGCCATATTATGCTGTAAAAGCTAATGAAAGCAGTTCCAAACAGGGGTGCTGTCAAGAGTAAAAATCCTTTTTATCATGACTATGTTTAGTTGTCTTCCTTTAAAGTAAAAACATAATATTGGCACAAAAACAAGATGATCTTTATCTTAAATACAATAGCCCACAATTAAAACAACAGCCAGGACTGACAGTTATTTAAACCTTTCCAAAATCCCCCAGTTTAGTATAGAATAATTACTTTAACATTATTTGCACTGTTTTTCAGTATGTCATTTCTATATGTACTAAGGAGTACACTTGGTGTCTTAGTATTGTTTTGCTCTGGATAGTATGAATCAATTGACCTGGGTCAGAAATACAGTCCTGAAAATATCACCATTTGCTAAAATGTGAACTTTGATTTCTATATGTGGTTGTTGTATTTCCACTGAAATGAAGTGTTCTGTGTAATAAGCAGAAAGATACTTATTTTTTGTGGTAGTCTTTAAGAGTGTACCTCCTCTGAGAGCTTATTTTTAATTCTATTTAGCAAAGTTTCTATTAATCATTCACAATTAGAAATAATCTAAAAAAGCAACCAGCAATTGCATATCAGCAATTAGTTCTTTGTGAATTCTTTTAAGTTGTATCAGTATATCCAGGTACTGAATTGATTTTTCTGAAGCAACACATACATGTGTAATCAGAATCCGTAGAAGTTTCCTCCATTTAATATGCCTCCCTTAGGTACGTCTTCAAAGCTGCCATGAAAGATGCATGATTAAGTTTTCCTACAATATACTAAACAAGGGCTTGAATGTTTAATATAATTTTCAAAGGGTTTGATTAATTTCTTCTAATGATTCCCTCACCAAAGCACTAAATCAGTCCTGTGGGGAAGAGATGTACTCTACAGGTAAAGTTTTAAAGTTCAAGTTATACAGATCTCAGTTGCATGTCATGATTGATGCTGCACACGTAGTTAGTCATTTTTACTTTCTGCCTCTCATACCCTGAATAATGCTGGTTGGTGAGGATGTCCCTGCAGGAATGTGTTTATATTATTTTGACTATTTTGAAAAATCCAAAAAATATTCCTATTTGTATTTGTTTGCAAACACTTTATAAGAAAGACTCTCTATTGGTTTGTGTCTGCCTTCCCTTATGTTCTCATGAATTTCCCCTATTTATCAAAAGGACCAGGAACCACTGGCTGTTCAGCATGGACTTTTTTTCCTTTAATTTTCCTAGAGACATTATGTGGCTAATAGCTTGATCTGATTAACACATTAGTGTATGTCTTGTTGTGAGTACTGGTGGGATTAGCTTCCATTTAATCAGATGAGGCAAAGCAGACAGCTGTGAACTGAACAGGTAAGATATTTATCATATGGGTGGAAGGAGGGATTTGAGGCAATAAGCACCAGTCTATCAGGGAATGTTTCTTGATGAGTGTTTCTGCACAGCATCCATGGTGCATCCTAACTGGAGACAGTTGCATTCTCTGCTGGATACTGTGGCAGTGTTGATATACTGATAGCATAATTTACACAGAGAAAACCTTGGCCAAAGAGTGAGTTTGGATAAACAGCGTGACACAGTGACCAGAGTTTAACTAGAGAGGGAGGAATTCTTTGCTGCCATCCTGCCTGTGTATCTTGGGTTTGTTGTTACTTCAGATGTGATATGCAATGTTGCATTTGTGTGTAACAGTAAGAGTGAACCTTTCAGTGGTGGTGCTGGTCTGTAGTGACGCCTAGAACTGTGTATGGACAATAGCTTGATGTTCTAGCTCACCATATGCAGGCACCTTAGCTGCTTGGCTTCGGAAGTGCAGGGTACCCAGAGTTTCTTCAGGTCAATGAGCAATGATGGTTAGAAGCAGAAAGATCATTCTGGAATGCTGTGTTGGGGCTGTCCAATTTAGGAGCTTGGGACTGCACCAGCAGGGGCTATGGACCCTCTTCACATGCCCACCTGCAAGCTCCCCCATTCCCCAAGGTTTCTCCCCCATCAGACTGCTGCATCATGAGTGGGCACCCCTTCTTTCTTGGCTGCTGGCCACACCAGAGGCTCCCCAGCAGTGGGGCAGGAAGTGAAAGCCAGAAAATGGAGGGGGGAGTCTGGGGACCCTGAGTGCAGCAGCTGGAGTAATAAGGGAAATAGCAGCCGGAAGGAGTCTGGGGGCTGTAGATTAACCCCTCACAGCCCCCAGGCCACCAGTTGGGACAGCCCTGCTCTGTGCCAGCAAGTGACACAGAGCTTCCCAGCACCAGTCTGGTAAAGGAACACATCATCTAGTGGGCACAGAGCTTTTGGTAGTAGCGTATTGCATAGTGGGCAATCCTGACTCTTAAGGCAGCCTGGGAAAGGGTCAACAGAAAATCCTCCACTGGAGATTTAGTACTCAGTCTGCTCTAATTCTCAGTCTCGTTGGCCTGTTTGTGTCTTGGACTTACTCCTTTCTTGTGATGCCAGAATCCTGTGTGGGGAGCTGTTGTTATACAGAAGCAATCCCTGGCATCTAGCAGAGCAGTAGATGTGTACTGTGGGGCAGATCAGGAGATTTCAACAGCAAAAGCAGAAGGAGGAAAAGTGTTTTTTCAGCAAATTTGTCCCCGTATTTCAGCCAATCCAAGAATATTTTAAGTTTCAGTGTAAAGTTCAAACAATTCAGAGAGAGAGTTTGTATGTAATTAAGTCCCTTCCATGGCATAAGAGTCTTTCTATTTAAATGTGTGTCACTGAGATTGTGGAGCAAAGTATCTGAATGTTCTGAAGGGTTCATACTAATACTGTATGTACTCAGCAGCTGGGAACGTTTACATCCAGGTTTCTGTTACTTGTCAGTAATCCACAGCAGAAAATTTGACCTAGATCATCCTGTGTGCATGTTCTTCCATCCTCGAGGTATGAAATGTAAGCTCTGGTCTGCAAGATTGTTCTGTAATGACTCCTGGTGGTGCCTTGTTCAGTGTAGATTTTAAATGTCTCTCTTTGGGAAACTGTTCCTGATTTGGGAAACTGTTCTCACTGTTAGAAACTGCTTCAGGTGTTCAGCCTAAAATGTATGTTCTCGCATGTTCTAATCTAACGGATGATTTGTGAGAGAGGCCTGGCTACTTTAGTATGAGTCTGCTGTTTTGTAAGTGCTGGGAAGTGCTTCCAAGTAATTTAGGGGAAGTGAGAAATGATGTTGCCATGGAGTCTTCCCTCTCACTTCTCTCTCTTCTTTCAGTTTTTCCTGTCTTGTCTCCACCTCTTAAAGAGGCACAGGAGAGTTGGGGCTTTGTGAAAAGGCAGCTGCTTTTGATGATTACTGGGGCTTCCTTAAGAGTTCTCACTTGGGAGCCTGAATGGCTGAAATATGAGCTGAACAGGAGGTCCCAGTGCTCTGTGCTTCTATCTTAACGCAATGAGCCGGTCAGCATTGGCAATCAGACGGTGCCAACTGCCTGAGATCTCAGAGGCTGCTCTCTTGGGACTCATCCTCCCAGGCTTCTAGAAGATTATTTTGGCCATCAGCAAACAGCAGCAGCTACAGGTGAAACCTTCCCTGAGTGGGAAACAAATTGTTACTGTAGTTTAGCCAAGTGTAGTTTTTTGTGCTGAGGTGTGGCTACCCTCTGTAACTTCACCCAGGTTTTAAACTGTTAGAAACATGATAGTATGAGAGGGGATTGTGTTATGGACTGTTTGAGAGGGGAGGAGGATTTCAAGGTGGAAACGAGTTTAGAGAACTAGCTTCTGTGTTATCTGTGGGTGGTTTTCAAAAAATGAGCCTGCAATGGAGTTAAGACTTTGAATCTGTACAGGGCCGGATGCACATGTAGCAGACAAAGAGCAAAGACTGCTGTTAGTCATCCTCCTGATTTGCATGCCTCTCCATATGTGAAGACTTAGCTTTCTTTGTGAATCCCTCCAGAGTGCTGGGTTAGTAGGATTCAGTGTTGTCCTACTGTGCTGGCTCTTGGTATTTTTTCAAGGACCTAGCACTATGCCAGTGAATTGTGATTGGAGTTGGGACTTCTTTTGGGTGGGGTTTGGCATCTATTTGGGTGTCCTGGCAGATGGGCATTGGCAGCCTAGTGTGTGGCTGAGATCTGGTGATGGTCCCATAGGATCATGTTCACCGCAGAAGTTGTCCAGCTGAAGAAACCTTGCTTAAGTCTTTTCTTTTACTCTTCCAACAGAGCAACCTCACAGCCTGCAGTCTTACTTAAATGTAACGGGTACATCAAAAGTGACTGGTAGAAAACAGAGCTATGAAGAATGTTGGGGGTCACAAATGACTGGTTTAGGGTGGTGTCCTAGGGTTATAGGGTGGGGTGGACACTTCAGTACATATGACTTCTGTCAGGCACAGATTAATTTTTTCTCCCTTTTTGTGCGCCAGCCTGTATGAATTTTTCTGGAACATTTTATGGGGGGTTGGAAATCCATTGTTTTGTTTACCTGTCTTGGAAACTCCTAAAAACGGTGGGGGGAGCCAAGTGACTGTCACATTTTAGCAGATAAAAGCAGGAAAACTGAAGGAACCAAAACAGGCTTCCCTGGGAGTTAGCCTCTGCAGCTGCCAGAACTGGTGTCCAGTCTCAGGTAAGAATGTGGAGACTTTGGGATGCAGCGAGACCAATGTGGGCTCCAAGGAGCACCACTTACTAGTCACTGTTCTCTTGGCATTTCAGGACAGATGAGAAAGTTGAAAAGTCAGAGCATTAGAAATCTCCGCAAAATGTAAAGGTTGAGTTGTACCAGCATTAACAGAGTATGTAGTTTCTGTGTTAGCAGTCACAAAAACTGTAGTCAGGCTCAGGAGTTGCACATGAGCTTGTGCTACTTTTTTGTTGAGTTTCCAACTCTGGACTCTTAAGTACTTAAGAATTATCCTTTCCAGAAGAAAAGTAAAAATCAACCACCCGTTCCCCAATGTGCTTTTATTTTAGATGCCTCTTACTCCAGGAGAGACCTGGCTTTGTAGATTTCTAGGGTGAAAGATACTTGTTCAGTGTTTGAAATGGAAGATGGATTATAAAAGTGGAGAGTTTAAAATACTACAAATGTTAAGAGTGCTACAAATTGTCCTGTGGCTTCACAGGAGTAGAGAGATCAATAATTAGTTAAGAAAAACTGTAGTTTTTAGAGATGATAAACAAATATTTCTTGGCCTTTCCAAAATGCTGATTTCTTTCACTGCATCTAAATGGTGACTTTAGTTTCCATATAACCCCCCCCCCCCACCAA